AATTTAGCATTTAGTTTCTCATGGCCGTCGCCCAGGTTCCCCCTGTGAGCCCTGCCCCCTAACGCCGATTCACCAGAACACCCCTGCCCTGGTTTTTGAAAGTTGTTCTATGAACTCTTGACAATAAACGTTCGGATCTGCTTCATAAACACAGCGTGAGGGTCGCAGGTCGTCACAGCTTCAGGGACCATGACCCTGACACTGTACATGTGTACCTAATAAAATGCACAAGCAGTGCAGACGCAAGCATGAAATCTCAGTTTTAACATGCATTTAGACAGAATCTGTGATTGGACTCACCTTCACCTCGAACTCAAAGTGCTCGTCCTTCCCCTGCCCGCGGAGAACGTATCGAGGAATGCTAAGTTTAACAGGCTCCTGGAGGCCGCCACAGCTCGTCCCGGGAGGACGAGACACCAAGTGCTGGACAGGAAGTCGTTGGAAAAGAGAAGGAAAAAAGAAGTGGAGGGTAAAAGGCTGACTCTGAAAATTACAATCAGGAAATTGTTCATTTACAAACCCGTTATAGCCAAAAACCTCCAAACAAATCAGAAATCAAACCAAAACTTTATTAGTCGGTCAGCACCCCAACATCATGTCTCTGCAAAGAAATTACACATGAAGTAACACGAACATGGAGCCTCTACAGTCTACATGGTGCCTGTACAAACAAACAAACCATTTGACGAATAAACGGCTGCATTTCTGTATCATCAAAAGTTAAAAAGTTTACAATTTTATTAAAAAAATAGAAAAATACTTCAAGATGACCTTTTAAGGTCCAATTTATTAATTAGAATTTATGTAACATCTTAAAATAAACAAACACAAGCACACTGTGTCCAGGTGATGCTGGGCTTCAGGTGCACAGGTGATTAATCAGAGTCTGAGCTTCTGAGGAGCAGCCAAAGCATAACTTCCAGGATCCACACGGACCTCGATCAGACGGAAGGTCAGCCGCGCCGCGTCCGAACTGCACCTCTCTCTGCACGGTTTGCGGTTTGGGCTTCATAAAAACAAAGTCTACCACCACGCAGGTGTCGGTCTTCTTCACGAGCAGGCACCTGATGTCAGAGCGCTTGCGGAGTTTGACTCCTTGAAACTGTGGGTGGGTGGGGACCAGACTGGATCCCCGCGGCACCGGATGGAAGACGCCATCCTCTCGGAGAAGAGCTACGTGGGTGTCCGTCAGGAGGAACTGGGAGATGCTGTCCCGGTGCACACAGGTAGAGTTCTTCACTTTGACGCTGGTGTAGAGCAGCGGACAGACGTTAGCAAGTGAAGGTTTGCCGGGACCATCCATGTTCCCGTGGATGATGTAGAGCAAGTCGGCGAGGACGCGCTTAAATCTGGAAGTGATGTGAAGCCCGCTGTCAAGGATGACGTCAGGAACTCTTGAAGTCCAGTCCAGAGAGATTCCCATTAGGTCGGCAGAGAGCAGCGGCTGACGTTCAGTCTCTTCAGGGATCTTCTCAGGAAAGAGAGCATTCAGGAGAGCCCTGCAGAAGTCCTGAGTGAGCTCTTTGCTGTACGTGAAGATAGCTAGCACGGCGTCTTCGGTGCAGCCCGTTAGGCGGATGTGCTGCCCTGCCAGACTTATCTGGACTTCCCGGATTTCTTGGAGTTTAAAGCGGTGAAAAATACTCAACATGTTTGTAGAATCCGTCCTCGCTGAGAGAACGATTAAGTCCGTCTCTGACAAAAGCAGACAGGCGGGTTTTGGGATGGGTTTCTCACAGTTAGCTGCTCGGAGCCAAAACAGACTCAAAACCTTTCCAAAATTCTCCCGAGGAGCCAGAGATTCCAACTTTTCCAGGATCCTCTGGGATGAAAATGTCTGTAGCTCAGACAAAACAGCCGGAAGCTCGACCAGCCTCTGATGAAACACT